AAAGCCCACGTAGGCATTATGGGCAATGAAAGAGCAGATGCTCTGGCCAAGGAGGCCACATTACAGAGTGAAATAGCATATAACAAAATACCATTGTCCTATATTAAGAAAATGCTTCGACAAGAATCCATACAGGAATGGCAAGAGGAGTGGAGCTACAGTGAGAAGGGACGGCATACCTTCTGGTTGCTTCCTAACATTCAAGAAAGAATACATGATCTAAACTGGCTCCCAATAGATCATATAATGACACAACTGTTGACTAATCACTGCAATACTAAAGAATACCTGAATAGGATCGGCAAACATCAAGATATATCTTGTGAATGTGGAAATGGAAACCACAGCTTGGAACACGTTATAAATGACTGTTCAAAATACGACATGGATAGGATGCAGCTACGGCTGTTAATCACAGAATGCCTGAATACCACTGAATTGGATTTATACAGAATCATTAGGACTAAAACATTAGCCCAAGATATGAAAACCTTCACGCGCAAAGTTCTGTCGTGAGGGAGGGAGGGAGCGAGTTGCTCCCTTAGCGACAAGAGTCGCAATCGTGTAAAGGCAAGATGCCTATGTTTTAATGTATTGTATTAAATTAGTTGTATGTATTAAGACCTTTAAAAGTATTATTGTAAATAAGAAATAAAGATAGTGTTTCCCTTGTGGTGCAGATAGCGGGACAAGGGTGACTCTGATTCCCGATTGGGGAAATGATGATTATCCAATGAAAAAAAAAATGTGCCGTACAATGCACACAACTACTGAGATAGTTCATTGGCAATATGCATTAGTGGCTAAGTGGTTTAGTTCCCTGAACATTGTGAGTACGCTCGGACGGGCTGACCACATGGAGTTTTCCTAATTTCTTCATCTGAATAGGGGCCAGTTACTCTTAAAAAAGACCTCCCGTAAGGCATTTCCCAGGAAGATCGCCCAAGTGTTGCTTTGCCTTAACTTAACAAACCAAACAATGGTCAATATGAATTACTGAAATATGCAACATTATTCTTTATTTATAAGCATAATTAAAATATGAAAACAGAATAATTTGAAGTGAGAGATATATGCATTCCTGGTTAAACTTTCAGACATACAATTTTACACGTGAACAATTTGCTGAATTCTCGAGAAATCCATTGTCCAAAGCATGTATTTTCAAAACGACAAAAATTATGAAGTGCAGCAATAGCAACACCTTGTTTCCTAAACTATCTTAAAACAATATAGGGCCAATGTGCTAAAATGTCATCATATCAGAATTTGTTGTAGGACTAATGAATATGACTTTACATAGCTTTGGATAAAAGTACTTATAATTACAAGGTAAGAACATTCAGATTAAAAAAAAACCATAATTATGTCAAAATTTAATTTATGCTTATAAAATTCAATAATATGTGTATAATATATATACATTAAAAATATTTTTTAAAAATAATATTATCGAAAATTGAAGTATTAAGTGAGAAAATTTTAAAAATTAAAAACATTTCAATTCAATTACCTGATAAAAAAGAAGGATTCAACAAATACAATGCCATTAAACATTATATTGAAGAAAATATTGTACAGCATGTCATAAATATTTTTCAGGTTTTCTATAGAAATAAATTTATGATAATTATAATATTTTTTTATTCAATTATTTAAAAACTGGGTTACTCTAAATAAATTTAAATAAATTTGAATTTTTGATTCTAACAGAAAAGTTAGAAAAGTTATTATTTTCAACGAAAAAGTATTTTCTTACGTTTTTTTTGTACACTTGTACAAATGTAAATAAATTATCTGAAGAATAAACAAAAATTAATTGCCAAATTTTTGGTAATTGCGATTTCTATTTACACTTAATTTTGTACAAAGAATATAGTATCCTCTGTAGAAACACTACAGAAAACGTTAAAAAGCATTCACAAAATAGAAGGTGCTCGATAACGTAATAATGTAACAGAGGTCATACACTGAAGTAATCATACAGCAGAGGGCACAAGCCGTTCATATGCAACTAATAGCGCTCCCTGTTGTATAATTGCTTGAGATTAATATATACAATACTCATATAAGCCATCTATTAAGATTAATTTTTTCAGACGTTATCATCTATTAAATAAATAAATATGAATGGATTTCGGACTTTAATTTTTAATTGAAGTAGCTTTGTGATTGTTTTTTCAAATGTACAATAGGTTAAAATCATGTAAATTCTTGTACTTTTATAGAAAATTTAATTCAGTCTCGATTTACATAGTGCATTTAGAATGTTCATGTTTTTAAAGGGCAATTACTAATTAAAACAACTAAAATATATCTGTAAAACTTATTGCTTATAAGATTTAAGATGAAGATTTTTAAAAATTTATCTTTTTTACCGATAAAATATTAATTATAAAACAATAAATTTAGCAACTTAAATTTACTTTTATGTCTTCCTACCTGTTGAAGGTACAGATATTAAAATATATGTTGTATGATTAGCTATTAAAATATTCATTAAAATAAATGTGACTGCAGAAATCCACTTCGTATCTTCTTTAATGTCGACACGCTTAAATTTCTGTATAGATGAATTAACAGAGACCGAAAGAAATTTATTAAAAATTTTAACTGAAAATATAAAGATTTTAGTTATTAATTTATATTTATTTTTCATTGTTATAAAGTATAAAAGTTCAAAAATATTCAAATTAACATTGTAAAAGCTAAAAATTATACTTAAAAGATAGATGGTGTGATAATTTCAATACTGAAAATGTAAGTGAAATTACAATGCAGTTTTTTACACGATATATTAGTTATGATATTGCTAAAAAGAGCTGTATTTACTCAGACTCATTCACGTTGTAGCAATGTGGAAAGATTTTGGAAAACTCATGACTTTTCTGTATCGCAATCCTACCATCAATTGTAACAGTTCAAATACTGACATTAAATGTTGCTCAAATATTTTATTGTAAATGAAAGTGTTAAAAATAATACGAAAGAATATATTAAAAGTACTAATTATATGTTTTACACTTACCTTCGTCTTTAAAATGTGAATACTTTGATACTTTTAGCAGATTTTCTATAACAGTCGCAAGTACAACCGAAATGATAAAGAATGCGATAATTGACCTAGAAAAAAAATTCAAATATAATATAAGATACTCGATATAAAATGAATTATATTTATAATATTCTTAATTACAATACATAAAAGAATTACGATAAGTAACTATGTCGTGTAGACAAATAATTTATCTGATGAGAAAAGTAAGTCACTTTTTTCTATAATTAGTATTATAGAAGACTTTTTTTAATTTTGTTTATTTTATTCCTTTATCTATTGTGTAAGAGAACAATACATAAATTTTAAATTTAAATAATAAAAAAATTTATAACAGCAAGTCGAAATTTGGAAATTTACTAACTATATCTATAAAAATTAATTAAAAGTTCTTATACAAACAATTAAAATAAATTGTTATTACTGATTTAACTGTTAATAATTAATTATATTTTCAAATTTAAATTTTAAACTAATAGTCTGTAACGATCAATAAGATTTTATTTACTGCAGATAATAATTGTCACTAATTTAATGCTGGTGTAAAAATTTAAATAATATCCAGATTATTTAAAATATAAAACTTACAGGCAAATTATTTGATGTGTTGAATAAATCCTTTCTTCATTTTGTTCTTTGCATTTTTCTACAGTCAATAAGTTATCACTCCCAGTTACTGAAAATGTAAAACTAATACAATTCTGTGTTTTCTGATATATTCATTATACTTGTGAGATTTTTTTAAAAAAATGGCATATTTCAAAAGAATTTACACTATTATGCAGTCATTTATAAATAATTTGGATGTGAAATACTTGATACAATTTGTCTGAAAGTACATACGAATGGTTATGCCTACCCATGTCGAATGCAGTAATAATGCAATAATGTGAATGAATGACTCATGTTCACATATATTATGAACACAACACGCATAATAACTGTGCTCCTTCGGACGACGTCATTATGATAAAGCATTTTGAATATACTATTTAAGTCTTATATGAATTTTTTATATAAAATTTCATTAGCAAACGTTTAAATAAAACACATTTGTACAATTAGCTACAATTAACTTATAGCAAAGCAACACTTGTGCAATCTACCTATGGGAATGTCTTCTGGGAGGTCTTTTTAAGGGAAACTGGCCCCTAATGACCGAACTCCCAGTGTTCGGGGTACGTTGACCGCTTTGCCACTGGTAGGCCCGCAACACGGTGAAGGAAAGGGTTATAATTATGAGTGTCACGCGAAAATTTTACTCTTTTTGTTTTTCTGTGTGTCGACGCATACAATCTTAAAGTTCCTAAAAGTTGTTGCCCACCAGTGGTCAAGCGGTTCCATTCCCTGGACACAGAGAGTTTGGTCTTCGGTTGGCGCCTCGCCAGGACGGGCTGGCCACGTGATCTCTTCCGGGTTTTCTCCACCTATGTAACGCCTGAATAGAAGCCAGTTATCCTTACAAATATCTCTCGGAAGGAATTTCCTTAGGCAGATCGCACAAGAGCCATAAGTTACTAAAACTAAACCTAAAAGTTTTTCGAAAACCGATTTGTTCTAAAATTAAAACCAAATTTTCAATAAGAAGTAATACGAAATAAATTATTCTATTCCTAACCACTGATACAAAAACCTTTTTAACGATTTAGCTGCATGCCATGCATATAAATGCAATGTAATATTATATATGATATTTTATGTATATCTAATAAATATTTTAGTTTCATTTTCGATGTAAAAGTTTGTTTTTATTAACTGGCTGCGTAGTATTACTATTAAATATTAATTTTAAAATATATAATATTGTATTAATAAATGTTTTTATTTAATTGAACTTAAGCATATCTAAACACGAATTTTTGAATGTCATTTATATTACTTGAACGTCAATTAACATAGTGTTTATTAATTAGCTAGTAGCCCGGGACGTTCCTATTACAAATAAAAATAATAATGAATACTGTTAATAAAAAAATTATATTATTAATTTAAATAACAGCTGAAAATCATCGCCAGGGACGCCCATTAGTGCACATTCTAGGCTTACTGTGACAGATATACAAACAGTGAAATCAATGGCTTATATAATAGGATTTGTTTTAAATTCAATTGCGATGCGTACCGAAAAACAGAAATGATAACAATAATAGGTTTAATTGTATTTATTTTTAATAAAATAGTTAACATAATCGGCTTTCGAAAATACAGTTTAATAACTTTTTCAGTACGTTAAAAATTCTGTTAATCAATAGTCGACTAACCGGTAAGATTGTTCAAGAAAGTAATAGTAAATAAATCTTAAGCAATTCACACAAAAAGGTTTATATATAATTATGATTTTATGTGTACAGTAGACCCCCCTATAACGCTTAGATACGTTCCACGCTAACCGAAAATTACGTTGTAGGAGTGAGCCAATCGCAGCCCGATAGGTGGGAACTTTACGGACTAAGGCTGTTCG